GTTTTGGAATAAAGCAAATTATTATTACTATTATTATTATTATGCACACACACCAATATTGAGTTTACAATGGGACATGAAAGTGACGGAAATTTCCTCTTCCTCGACGGTAGTCTTCAGAAGTCAATTTATCGAAAGCCTACTTGGAAAGGACAATACTTACGTTTTAATAGTTTTTGTCCAAAATGGCTTCAAAGGCGGACTAGTCAAGACTCTAACTGTAGAGATAGGAGATTATACTCTACAGAGAAATTAGAGGAAGAATTTGCGTTTCTTGAAAAGATGTTAAAGAGCAATGGTTACCCTCAAAGGTTCATGGATAATCTGAAGTCTCAAATCTGAAACAAACCACAGTGGAGAAAAAACTGATCTACATTCAACTTGATTATAAAGGTGAGGACATTGCAGCGATGATCAACAGAAGACTGAGTCGGTCACTAGACAGAACCTATCCTGCAGTTAAACTCGTTCCTATCTATCGAACAACTTGCTCTTTGATGCAATCGAAAATCGGTAGATATCCTTCTCACGTTAACTCCAACTGTGTGTATACAAATTTACATGTATCTGCGGGAGTAGTTACATTGGAAGAACAGAAAGAAGAAGGGCATATCTACGATTTTCTGAACATGTACCAAAAAGCTTATGTCTAAAGGGAACAAATGCTTTCAACAGTGCGACTGCCAGGAATCTCCTCGACACGGGTGATGAGGTGGACATCGAAAAGTCGTTCAAAATTATCAATAAGCAAAAGAGCTCAATTCTCCTGAAGTTTGCTGAAGCCATTTCCATCAAGCACCTGAAACCTGCTTTGTGCGTTCAGAAAGAAACAGTTATCAGTCTTTCTTTGCCTTGGTAACTGGATATTTTCATATCTCTTTCATCTGAATACGTAATGATGAAAAGTTTCCATTGTGTATGATCATTATTGTTCGGAATAGTGTTTACTATTATACATACATACACATAATTTCTGTATGCCTATATTGATTGATTGATTTTTGTTTAAAAATGAAATCTGTGCAAGTGTATTAAAATTGTTTTTGTAGATACATTTAATAATGTCTTTGGCCTGTAAGCAGCTGACGAGAAGGCAACGAAATAAAGGATGGTACCATTTTATTCTGCAAAAACTGCAGTTCTTGCTTTGTTCAAATTCATTGAGGGGAATAAATGTATGAAAAATTAAGTGGTTGGAGAAATTTTGCAGAGAGGCGATGAGAGTCCATCCTACCTATTTATTTTTCGTTATTTTCTAAAGTGACTGAGATAGAGGTTCTACTGTGGTGAGAGCTGTCTGCTAGCCAAAATTGGTAGACAGCAATTTACGTCAATGTTAACGTCCCAAATTAGCGTCATGAGAAAAAACAAGAACAAAGCTTAACCTTGACGAACTCAACAACCAATCACAGCAGACTTAGCGTGGGCGGATACGACTCGCAGATACGGTCACAAGGAGATGACAAAATAACCTTGAGCAAGAAAACAACCAGTCAGAAGACGTTACTTCTGTGTTAAAAAACGCTAATAATGATGTACCTAAAAATCTATAAATATCTGTTGATTTTCTCAATTAACTATCTGTTGTCTGGCCCTTGTCTTCTCTCGTTACACTACTAGACGGCCTGGAGTGCGATGTCACTTAATATTCTCTCCAGTGAATGTCCTATTCACCTCAATTTCCATTTTCACTTATTTTTTTGAGCGATAAATTGTTGGATGGTTCACTGATTGTCAAAATTCCCTGATTTGTTTGCTTATCTGATCTTCACTGTCAAGCAGAGAGACAAGCCTCAATGAAAGTCATCGGTCTACTGGAGATACTTTGGATGATGGACGCGCGCGCGTGCCAACTTTCCGAGTCATACAGAAGCAATGAATTGATATTAGCGTCAGAAATTTGTACGGTTTTTGTTATACTGAGTACTATAGATCCATGCTGACTTCAGAGGGAAATAATAAGCATATCAAAGCCAGCTGGGTTCAAGAAAGCAAGACTGCAAGATACTCATATTTCTACGATCTGTACGGAAACCTACAGCACTTATCACAAAGAACAAGATCCAAAATTTCATTGAACCCTAGTGTCAATTTGATGCCTCTGCATGGCCCAGTCAGCTGATGCACGTGTTACCAAAAGCCTTTCCAACAGACTGTTGCATCAATGTCTACCCACTTCTCTGAATACTGATATGATATGACCAAGCAGAAGTGATATAAGCAAAGAGGAATTCTAGTGGTGAGTGAATCAGCCGACAAGAAAGAGTGTAGTATCACTTGCCAGACCCTCCACTAGAAAACAAATGGGAAACATCTGGCTGGGTGTGTCTCCGAGTGTGACATAGAAGAGGTCATTTGAAAAGTAAATGAAGGGTTGTGGACAGTTGAGAGTGGTGTCAACGAATCAAGTGTAATGCGGATTTAGCGCTGAGACCCCATTCTCATTCGCAATGAGTAAAGAATGAATAATAACAATAAAAAGTGAATCGTTTTTCAGTGCCAATCTGTAGGTTTTCTTGTGGCTCTGGTAGAATACAAATTTTTATTTCTGTATTACAAGTCATCTATAGCGTCTCCTATACTACTGAAATCTAATTTTGAATAAAGCAAGAACGACAGATGTACTGTGCAAGAACTGGCGAGGAATCATGCTACTGTCGACGCCAAGTAGACTCCTGAGTCGAATCATCCTGGAGAGAATAAAGGACGTACTGGATACAGAACTCCGACCAGAACAAGCTGGATTCAGGAAGGGCAAATTGTAACTCTACGCATCATCATCGAACAAATCATGGAATGGCAATCAAACCTCTACCTCAACTTTATAGACTTTGAGAAGGCCTTCAACAACGTTGACCGCGAAGTAATTTGGAAATTACTCGAGTACTACGGCGTACCCCAAATATTCATCAGCCTTATACAACAGCTGTACGACAACGGCACATGTCAAGTGATCCACAACGGAAAACTCGGCGAGTCATTTGGAGTAAACAAAAGAGTCAGACAAGGGTGCTTATTATCACCAATGATATTCCTAATTGTGGTGGACTGGATTATGTGTCAGACAGTAGGAAACGAGAAGACAGCGATATCCTGTCCTGACCGACATGAAGAACCTAGAAGACCTGGATTTCGCGAGTGGAAGATTTATGTTTGATGTCACACAAAATCGAAGACTTACAAGCGAAAACCGACAAGCTGGTGGAAGAAGCAGCCAGAGAAGACAGGACTCCAGGTGAACATAGACAAGACGGAGGTTATGAAAATAACCAACCAACAACAACAACAACATCCAGCGCCAATCACCATCAACGGGAGGGATTTGAAAGAGGTTACTTCATTCACTTATCTAGGGAGCATTGTCTCAACTACACGAGGAACCAACGAGCATGTCAAATCGAGAATCGGGAAGGCGAGAAACACATTCATCAACCTGAAACCAATCTGGAAATCTTCGTCACTCAGCCTGCATCAACAACAAAATTCGGATTTTCAATACAAACGTCAAGTCAGTCAGTTCTTCTATACGGATGGATCAGAAAGTTGGCCAGTGTGTCACAAAGAATATTTCCAACAGCCTGTTTCACACCTTCACCAACAACTGTCTTCGCTCTATACTGAAGATCAGATGGCCGCGGGAAAGAATCACCAACAAGAAACTATGGGGACAAAAAAACAAAACAAGAACCAATCGCTCAACAAATATGCAGGAGAAAGTGGAGATGGATTGGATACTCGTGGCTGAGGAGGCCGTTGGGTGACATCGCGCGTCAGGCCATTGCTCGAGTGGAACCCGAAAGGGAAGTGACGAGTGGGACGTCGAAGGGTGACTTGGAGGAGATCGTGTGAAGAGGAGTTGAAACAGTATGGACTAACATGGATGCAGGTGATAAGTACAGCAGAAGACAGAAGCAAGTGGAGGCGTGTAGTTGAAGCCCTATGTTCCACTAGGAACCCAAGGGAACAATAATAACAGTAATAATAACAAATGTATCGGGATAATCTGAGCTCAGGCTTTCATTTTTTCTTATTTTGTGGATTCTCCTCAACTGAACAATACCAAAATAATGGGCAATTTGGAACAAACAAAAAGTGAAGTCCGGAATTTATCAGACAGACTTCTACACCAGGTATGTCGATAACACCTCTGTCATTTGTGATTGTTTTAATGACGCATCTCAAATATCAAAAAACAAACGTCCTGAACAGTGCTCATACTCATGTATATTTTACAATGGAGTATGAAGATGAGGACAAATTTCGCTTTTTGGACCTTGGCATCGTCCATGATAAAGATGGTGAAATCATGAGGTACATCTACAGAAAAGAGACTTGGAGGGCGATTTACGTGAACTCCAAAAGCTTCTGCCCTATAAGTTACAAAAAGGGATTGGTGAGAATACTGTTTGATCGTGTAAGGAAGTTTTGCTCAGAAGAGAAATTCGAGGACGAAGTATTCACTGTTGAAAAATGCCTACGTGATAATGGTTACCCACAGAAGTTCATCGACAAACATGAAAAACGTAGTCTTGACAAGGTGGAGTACAGCATAGTAGATTAAAAAAACCCATCTTTCTACAGCCTGCCTTCAAACGTGACGATACTGCTAGTAGGATAAGATCCATATATCATATATATCTATTCCTATGACAAGTCCGTTTGTGATGAATCAGATTGTTCGAAATGTGTTGCGCGAATACATACATTACACGATTCAACCAAATTACGTCTTCCATCTTATTGCTTTGTCTAACTAAATTTATAAAGGGAACTAATTGTTTTAAATAATAATAATGAGTATCCAAACTTCCAATTCAGGGTATTTCCAAGTTATTACAACAGTTTTTACATTGTACTTGAACTTAGCGTACCTATAACACTTCTACAGGTCATTTATATGCACGCGTTTTTGTTAGTATGTCAATTCATCTTGTCTAATCATGTCTAAGTTCAATGAAGACATTTATCTAACATTGTTATTATTATTATCCCCTTTTCAGATATATCTGGATATAAATGAGTCAACAATTTCTTGATACTACTGTAAAATCACGAAAACCTAAAAATTCCGCATTTTTCCAACAAAAACTACCAGCATGGCAACCAATGTTTACGGCAAAAAAATCTGGCCTAATGTTTATTGTATTTGGAATAATACTACTACCAATTGGTGTTGTACTATTGTTAACCTCAAATAATGTTATTGAATACTACGTCGACTATACAGATTGTACACAAACAGGTTCACAAGTCTCATGCTCCGTAGTGGCTGTTTCTGGAAATTCATGTATCTGTTCTGAACAAGTATCTATTAAGACATTTATTCCTGGACCTGTTTTTGTCTATTACAGTTTAAGTAATTTTTATCAAAATCATCGAAGATATGCACGATCTAAAAATGATGACCAATTGCTTGGTAGTTATCAAGATCCAAGTTCTTTGTCTTCTTGTGAACCGTATTCATCAATCGATGGTAAAGCAATACTTCCATGTGGAGCAGTTGCAAATAGTATATTTAATGATACTTTTACTATACAATATGTACGTGATGATAAAACAAAAGTTACTGTTGACACTTTAAAAACTGGTATCGCTTGGCCATCTGATATAGCGAGGAAATTTGGCGTTTTGGATAGTAAAGGTGAGTAGAATATGTATTCAGGTGGGGTTTTTTTCATCACTATGCATAATAATGTAACGGTTATTTAACTTATTTACAGTTCTTGAATTCATTTTTTATTTGAATGTTTTGTATGTTCTTTGGCTTGTCTCCTCAGCATAATTGGTTGGTTCATTGTACCCCGAAGATTTGATTTTAAACTCAGGCACATAAGGGAGAGGTGGTTATTTCTATAAAAAAAACTCGTGTCTAAGGGGGATCTAAGTGTGTAGCTAAAATTACTAATTGTAATATTACACGTGAAGATGCAGCGCATTGGCTTAATCATTCTACTTTCAGCCAGTGGGTCCTGGGTTCGAGTCCCGCTCCGCCTACTTCAGCCTGGGCAGTGGGGTAGTATCATTTAGCGCTCACACAACAAGTGTGATTTATAGCCTACTACTGGATAGTTGAGATCTAACTAACTATAGCTAACAATATTGCACGTAAATGCTTCAGATTGCACTAAACTAAAGTTTTATCGATTAGGTGGGAACTTAACTGCCATGTTGTGGACAACCTGAAGGTGTCCAAAAAATAATCAACAGACAAAAGAAACCTAGCCTGCTCCGTTTTACTAAGGCCATCGCCATCAAACGGCTGCAACCAAATCTATGTACGCAGAAAGGGACAGTAGTGAATCTTGCACTGCCATGGTGACAACAAAGCGCACAAATTTCACTGCGTCATCTTCTGTCCTGTTTAGAAGCCTTGATTTTCTCATTTAAACATGACTCATCCTAACCCTCTCCCTCTTTTTCGTCTATTTTATAGAAAACGTGTTTTTCTGTGACTACGTAACCTGTTGCATTTTATACTCTTCCGTGTTAAACTTGATTTCTACCCATATACCATTGTAAGGACAGAAGACAAGGAAAACAGCGTCTTCTGATTGATTGTTTTCTTGCTCAAGGTTATTCTGTCATCTCTTTGTAGACGTTTCTTAGAAAGTCAGGCCATATATCTGCCAATTATATTTGCACACGTTAAGTTTGCTGTGATTGGTTGTTGAGTTCGTCAAGGTTAAACTTTGCTATTGTTTTTTTCTCATGATCCCGATTTGGGACGTAAACATAGACGTAAATTGCTGTCTATTATTTTGCCCTGCAAACAGCTCTCATAACACAATCTGTTGAACTCTGTCCTTTTGTTGCCAAGCTTAGTCAGGCAATTCTTCTACAAATGGTCGATCCTTTTCACTCCTAATTATTCAACAACTTTCATCATTCCTGACCAATGTTACTCTAAGTTCCCATCAGATACTCATTACCATTGTAAGAAAACAATATGTTCACATCTTTAATTTAATTTATGATTTTGGTATTGTTTAGGTTGTAACCAGTTGAGGAGAATCCACAAAATAATAAAAGTAAAAACATGAACTCAGATTATCCTGGTACATTTGTCGTTCTTGCTTTATTCAAATTTATTAGTGGGAAGAATTGTATGAGGCTTCTGAAATCTAACTATCTAATTAAATTTTCAAACTCTCTGAGTAATAATCGGAGAAAGAGAGAGAATTTAGAAGTAAAAACAGTACGAAAGAGAACTACAGAAGATGTGCTAGATTACCTTTCGGTAGGTCCAGAAGAAGTAGTGTTTACAGTAGACTCAGTCAGTGGATTTTTTCTCAGACTGTTCACAGTTATCAAGTGGTCAAAAAATACTTGCGTAGTTAACTTACTTACTATTCAGTTGTACAGGTTCATGAATTTTCCTGAAACTTTCTAAAGATTTATACAGAATTGTATTTATTCTTCGTTTATTTATTGTTTCATGATACGGCAGTAGTTGTCTACGTGTATGAGCTCGAAGGACGACGATGTTCGCCATCTAAAAGTAGTATATATATACAGATAGAATTATAATAATAATAATAATAATAATAATAATTTGCTTTATTCCAGAAACAGTACTAGTGTTACAGTGTGGAATTTTCAGCACATATCTACAATGTTTGCATCTAATTTTATCCAACGTTTAAAAGGAGTATTTTCAAAATAAATAAAAAAGTATAAAAACAACAACAGCAAAGGAACACAAAAATAATTTTTAAAAATGCGAAAAAAATACCAAGAAGTAGCAAGGAAAATAAACAACATAAAATAATATCTCAGTATTGGGTAGTGGAAGCTATGATATGATTATGCATAGTGATAGTAAAGCTATAGTCATACAAGAAGTTATGAAATGATATTTAAGAATGCGTATCGCCAAGAAGATCAGTTAGTTTCGTTGAAACAACACTAAACAATCATAAAATAACATTTCAGGGTTGCTGTTTTGTTTGTTATTGTCAGGTGTAATGCGGTGTTTGTGGTGGTAGTGTGAGTAATCCTGCATAATACAAAATTTTAAGATGGTCATAATGGCGTTCACAACCAATGTTTGTCAGTTAATATTGCCGAACAAAAAAACAACCACAAAAACTAATAATTACATTATGGTTAATGACAGGACAACTTTGTAATACTCATAGTGCTAATAGAGTCGGAACCAGTGGATACACAATAGAAGGAATATAGTAAAGTACAAAAAGTAAGCCAATGTTAATAATTTAGGTAGCTAAGTATGCTTGAGAAGGAGTTCACTATAGAACACAGAATAAGAGAGAAATAAAAGAGCCTAAAATTATGATTATTAATAACAAAGCAAGTCATAGGTTTCACGTTTAACATTGTCTCTGTCGCTTAGAACACGGGCTAAGTATGTTATCGTTGAGGATATTTGTTAGAATAGAATTCTGACACAAGAGATTGATTACACCATGTTGACCAATCAGTGTATTCTTATGTGGTTGTGTTCTCTGAGCTAGCTGGATAGTTAATTTGCAAAGCTTCCATTGCCCCCAATACTAGGCAACATCTTCAGCCCATACACTTCAATTTGAGGGAAGTGAGCTTTTGGATTTCTCCACGAGTTTATTAATCATCTTTCCTGGTGACCTTGGACGTGATTGATTGTTTTTGTGTGTTTTCACACCCTCCAGGCTACTTGTATTGGTGGTGCTGATTGTTTCCTTGACTTGAACTTTGACCCTTTGTGTGTGAGATTTCCTTCTTATCGGTTGGTAAATTTTGTCTATCTCGATGCGTCTATTGACTGATGATTCACTGGAATACTAGGCAGGCTTCTAAAAACTCTCTGGCTAGCATTCTTGGTGTTTCCTCTGTCTAATATTTGAACGTTGGTTGTCCCAGTCGAATTGATGTTCATGGTTGTCTGTATGTAGTGATATCAGGGAGTGGGAGAGGGAGATAGACAAAATTTACCAACCGATAAGAAGGAAATCTCACACACAAAGGGTCAAAGTTCAAGTCAAGGAAACAATCAGCACCACCAATACAAGTAGCCTGGAGGGTGTGAAAGCACACAAAATCAACCAAAGAGTCACGTTCAACCTGGTCACCAGGAGAGATGACTAAAAGTGAGCTCGTGGAGAAATCTACAAGCTCACTTCCTTCAACTTGAAGTATGTGGTGAAGATGTTGCCTAGCAGTAGAGCAATAATGAAAGCTTCGCAAATAAACCATCCACCTAGCTCAGAGAACACAACCACAGTAAAATCATCCACTGGAGCTACAAATCTTCTCCATCATATCTAAATCAATGTGTCTATTACAGTCCTACAGGAGGTCAGTCGTCAGCCCCAACTTCTCAGTGGTAATGTCTCTGAGTATAGCACTGAGTGATGCGTGTTCTTTAGAGGTTACAGATATGTCTCGCTGACAATAAGTCTTTGTTACATTATCTGTGTGTTCCTGGTATCTCGTCGCCAACTGATTAATAAGATGCATATTTCCAGAGGATTTTAGTAGTCACATGAGTCAACAAATCTGTCAGGAAGTGAAGCGCCAACTTCATGATCCCTTTGTGATCCAGACAAGAGTTAAATGACTTTCTCTTCTCGGTAAAAATGAATTAAAAGAAGTTGATGTTTTAATTGAATTTTAGATTTCCCCATCGATTGATTTGACAGAAGTGCTCGGTCTCAGGTTGACATGTCGGTTTCTTGTGCAGATGCTTCGACGATGTCTGGGCATATAATTAGTATTTAATTGGTGGATGGTGACTAGCAGTGGAATCCAGGATGTGTATTTCGTCCCCTTTGGGACTCGCCATCTGGATGTACCTGCATTTCTCAGTGAGCGATGACATGTCAACCTGAGACCGAGCACTTCGGTCCAGTCAATCGACGGGAAAATCTAAAATTCAACTAAATCAATATGACCCATTGCACAAGAGATGGCTGTCGTAGCCCAAGTGGTCTTGTGGATAAAGCTTTGGCGCTTGAAACTATGGGTATTGGGTTCGAGCCTCAATGGGGACAGGATCACCTACTCACTCTCCATTGGCTGATGAGTCTCAAATAAGACGAAATGCGCACCTGGGGGCATTCCACTGCTAGTCACCATCCACCAATTAAATGAAGTTGATGTTGTTGAAAACTTCATTCCATGAGGGAACATATGTGTCAGTAAAACCAGTTTCCTGTTCTAAGCGTTTTACGTTAATTTTCAACTAGGCTTCAGACACAGGAAGAGTTAATATACTTTCTTTTCTTTAAACCTCCCTCTAAATTGGTATCCTAGCCGAGTAAACAACATCTTAGAAAGCGTATGCCCTATGTCAAGCATCTTGTTAACGATCCCACAGTGGTTGGTGTTATTCCAGCTGTTATTCTACTGTCTGGCCTCAATTTCTTGATAGTAGCTTCTCGGATGGTACATTACTGGCCCATCTCAGTGGGTCATGACAACTTCCATGAAAGTCTCACAAATATACAACGATCTTGCAGATCGCATAGAACCATTATCCTTAAGGATGGAACAGTTCCTGAAAAAGGCCGGATACAGCACACTGAGTGCTGACAGTACTCCTACTTGACTTCCTCCCCTCTGACCCGCCTAGTGGTTCATAAACGCTGGTTCACATCCGAGCTACCAGTAGACCGAGTGCTCCCATTTTCAGAGGCAACATTCACATACTC